GAAGGACGTTTGCTCTGCAAAGCAAAAAGCAATTGCATTATCAGAGGACTTGCTGTTTTACCAGTGCTGATGGGTTTGTACTCGCCTCTAGCCATGGCCTTGCAGGATCAGCTAGACTGGGGTTCTTTCGGTTACAGTCCTTGATAATTTGTTAAAAAGCACAGATCCTCTCCCCAACCCATAACAAAGCACGTACACGCTTCTCTTAAAAATCGTGAATCCTCTCCCTCACCTCTAACAAATCCCTAACAAGCAACTATGTTGTGTCCAAGTGGACACAAAATGTCAGAAAGTTCATGGATTCCCCCTCAAACCCATCCAGAGCCCTGGAGTCTGAATTCCAGGAATAAAAAGGTTCCTCGGGAACACAGTGAACTTGACCCTAGAACTCCACTGCCTGCGCAGCTGATGGTCAGTAAGCATCTGTCCTCCTGAGCAGTACTTCTGAAGGGTACCCAGCTCCACGCTCACGTCCAAATGCAACATGTACTTTCAGTATTTATTTTTTCACTGGTTCATTCAGCACGTTTATTAAGTGCCTAGTAAGTACCAGGCCAAGGACGAGCATCGGGAGACTCCCAGGAGGGAGGTCTGGGGCTGAGGTCACACCTGGCCGTTTCGCTGGCTGAGGGCCAAGGTGATTCTAATGATGCCTCCATGGAGAACACTGACGTTCCAGGGTGGACCCAGGGACTTGATGGGATGCCCACGCTGAAAGCAAACCGACACGCAGACAACACATGTGGGGTTAGATCAGGTGAGGTGGAGTCAGCTGCTGCTCACATTGGACGCCTTCTGATTGGCAGGTCAGTGCCTGAAATACTCCAGCATCCTCTTTCCCTCCTCTAAGTCTCAAATTCTGGAGAACCAAAATGGAATAACACGTAATCTCTGACCACGAGGGGAATCAATCTTCCAGGGAGTTGTGACCTAGGCTGCAATGCCAGCCAGCCTTAACTACAGTCCTTCAACAGAGGGGCAAGCAATCAAAGGAACCAACAAGTAAATCAGATTCCAGGGGATGCAAGAACCTAGGATGCTCCACGGAAAAGTTCAAAATTTGACTGAGATGCTGAAAGATAAGCAGAAGTGCCATAGGAGGAGAATGAGCGGAGGCAGTCAGGAGGAAAGAACTGGATAAGCAGAAGCAGGTGTGAAAAACCAGAAGGTTCATGGAGAAAAGAAAACTCCATACACATGGCTCATTCAGTTCCAGGAGAGAGTCATGGGAGATGCAGTAGCAAGTATCAGCTGGGATGGTACCATGTATGGCCTTGAACACTGATAGCAAACAGGGCCCCTCAATTCTCCCTCTCTCCACCCATGTGAACTGTCTCAGGGGAGGGTGATTCACTGAGCCCCGCTCTCCAGGTGGGGGATCTTGAGGTATTTTCAACTCTCCATCCGTCAACGCCCCAGTGGGCTGATGAGTCCTGACTGTTCTCCTTTACTATGTGCCCGACAGCCCTGCACACGCTGCACCGAGGCAGACATTTGGTCCTCATTTCATTCTTTTCTATAATTCGCTGCTGATAGGACTGCTCACTTCTAGTAGGGGAGAGAGAGGATCTTTTATATTTTGTTCTCTTCTAATACCTTATACATACTAAATGTTTTTTTTCAAAAGCTTGCTGGTGTGTTACTATCGTGACCAGGAGTTTGGAGTTGATTCACTAAGCAATCGTGAGCCATATAAAGTTACTGGGGTACAATGAAAATACTGGGACATACATCCCTGTGCATTTGGGAGTATTACTGACTGAGAAACTTCCCTAAACAGGCTTGACATGCAGTGTCTGAATGTTTATAGATATTCCCAAGTTGTCTACATGAGAGGTTGCAAAATTGTATGTCCCCATCAACAGTCTGTGCACACAAATTTCACCACATCACCCCTTAACACTGGATTTGCACCAACTTAAACGTTCTGAAGAGTCCGTTTTATTTCATTTCTTAATCCTTGCTAAGGTTAGGTAGCTATCTTTTCATCTGCTTACGCCATTCAGATTTTTTTTTCCAATGAATCAACTCCTTTTATTCTTCACCCATTTTTCCTAACGGAGTGTTGTCTACTTATCAATCTGTATCAAGTGTGTTATAACTACAGCCACCAGCCAGTTGACCGCTACAAATGTTGAAAATAATTTCCCCAAGTCTTCTGTTTGTATTTAGACTTTTCTTTGTGGCATTTTCTATCATTCAGAAGTTTAAATTCTTATATAACCAAATCCGTCAATCTTTTTTAAATGACTTCTGGGTTTTATGTCAAGATATATTACAAAAGCGTCTTCCTTATTTTTCTTATAGTGTTGCTATAGTTTAATTTTTGTGTTTAGTTCATGAACCTATTTGGCATTTATTTTTGTATGATGTGGAGGGGGTCTTATATGGCATATTCTTGTAATACAATGCTGGGTTTGCTAGCATTTATTAAATTTTATCCATGTATAGTCATAAGAGCACTTGCACTATAAATTTCTACCTTGTGAAATTTTGGAAGCACATGCATCTAGTTGTTCATAGTAGTTACCTCTGAAAAGTGAATTTGGGAAGCAAAGACATTTTATTTTGAATACTTCTGTGCTTAAAGTATCCTTTCAGAGAACAATACTGCATTTATAATTTGATAAAATAAAAATCTGGATAGCTATTGAGGAAAAGTGTAATTACCAGTCCCAGATTTTAGGAAGATGTCTCAGATAGAATGAAACGGCTGAGCAGGAGGTAAGGCACGAGAAGGGCTGGGGCTACAACACAGCTGGGGACAAGAGGAAGGAAGGCTAGTTTGAGAAGGCTGAAGATGGGGATGACAAAGAACTGAGGCCGGAAGGTTGCTTTAGTGCCATCATTGCCGTAACTTCCGGCAAAAGATGACATTGTCAGCATTTTCCAATCATTAATGATCTGGTATATCTTTCTTAAGAGGTAAAGAGAGAACTTGAGAATAACATGAACCCACAGCATGTTCACTTACAGCATTTACAACATTCCTTCTGTTTTTTCTCCTCTCCTTCAAAAAACCATACAAGTGTGCTCCTTAGGAAACACCCATATCATTTATTACTAAGCTTTTTTCCAGCTATGATAACGTATCTTGCCTTCCAGTTTTGACCTACAGTCAAATGTGTTTCCGTGACTACACTGTTCCTAGGTCTTGGTTTCCCTTTGGGCAACGGTTTTATTTCCTTAGCATGTCTGTCCCAGGGGACTGTGGTCCTCCAGGGAGGGGACTGGTCTGGTTCACCAGCAGCCCTGCACCAGGAGGAAGCTGGGTCTCCTGCAGACTCAGGTACAGGCTGGGAGAGCCCCAGGGTGCAGTGTGTTTTAGCCAAAGAGGAGCTCCCTGCACAGACACCATCTAAGGCCCACCTTGGGGAATCTGGAATACCTTCCTTCCTACTTCTAGAAAACATGGAGAAAAGAAGAGAAAAATTCAACAGTCAGAAACCTATACTTAATCATTTAAGCCTGATTCACACATTTGGCATTTTCCCTTTGGTGCCTAGAAAAAACAACCGGCCTGCTCTTCTTACCTATATCTTGAGTTTTAAAATGTTGATTTACAAGACATTCACACATCCCCTTTGTAGTAGCATTTAGATCAGTGTTCAGCTAGGAGGGACACTGTGGCTGCTGAAATCAGAGAGATTGATGGGTTCTGCTTTTCCTATTGTTTTCACATTAAAGTTACTTATTACATGAATATTATGCTCCATGGGATCAGAAAGAAAGGATCTCACCTTTATTTTCTGTCCGTCTAGATATCAACATGTGGCTTTCAGGAGAGGTGGACTGATTTCTTGGTACTTAATGTTGATTTCAAAGACTGTATATTTTCTAGTAAAATATTCTGTTATCCTGAGGTAAGAATCCACAAAACAGAACTAAAAAATGGTCATGGGGCCAAAAATATTAACTAAAAGATTCTGATCACTGAGGGGAAAAAATGAACTTGTTTGACCTGATTATAAAAAACAACTCTACAAAAGAGAGTCATGAATTTTCATGATTCTTTTACAACGAAGCAGCCAAGGAAAGCATCATAACTTAATGCGAAATCAACTTTTTTTCTTTTCTCTTACGTTGTTTAGCTTTTGATGAACAACAATTTTTTTTTTTTTTTGCATTTCAATACCAAGTTTTAAAAGGTACAAGGAAACATAGCTGTGAGGCTCGTTGGGTCAGGGAAAGGGTTCACCAGTGGTGACTGTCTGACAGCGAATCTACTCCAGCTTTGTCAGTAGCTGAAAGGTATTCAGGTAGAGGTCCCATAGGAAGAATGGCTGCGGATTTTAGAAACCGAACAACATATAATTTTGTTGAATTTGCATTCACATAAATGCTAGCTTGAAAAAAAAATGCACCTGCTTGTTTCTATGACAATAGGCAGAGTGAAATCACGCTCATACAGATGTGATGATGACTGCCACCCCGCTACTGCTGTTATTTTTTCCCCTGAACAAGTCATCGAATTCTTCTCTGCTATCTATCAGTAGACAAAACTGTGTCACAGAAGTCTAAAGGCTGTTTTGCTAATGCTGAGAAACCAGAAGACATTATTCTGTTGTTATTCCCAAGACAATGTCTATCAACTCCACTAACTGGATCATCAGCGCTCTTCTATAATTCAGGAGTAAAATATTTTAGAGCTGGCGAGAACAGGATGCCATGGTTGCCTCCTGTCATACAAATAATGTATATGACAGAACACTTACTGTTTTTCACAAAGGTGATTTTTAAACTATATTAGAGTGTGGCTTTACATCTAATAACATGTAATCTGGAAGCATCTAAATCATGGTGAATATACATTCTGAAATTATACATAATTCGAAAGCTCATTTTTAATTTTTTTGCTTCTATTCAGTAACCATTATAACTATTAAAGGCATTCAACTTCTTAAAAGGCATGATGTTACTATGCATTTTTAAATACTAGATGGTCTAGCTATCATAGAAGTTACAGTAAAAATTAAATTACTAACAAATGTATATACTACCTCATATAAAGTGATGACACCATAGGTTTGAATTGGCTCTCGCCATTGAAGAAATATCTTCTCTTCAAAGGTACTTCCTTGGATGGATTCAGTAAGAACAGCACCTGGAACTAGAAGGGGGGAAAAAATCGATACATATTTAAGTAAACCAAAAACAAAATACATTTTTCTAGACTTGACAGGTTTTTAACTCTCTATTGAGGTGTAAGATTTTAATAGATATATTCCATTTTCTTGCAAAAACCTGCAATTTAAAACCATTTTGGCTATACTGTCTTTATAAAGAAAAGAATTTCATCAAATCTTCCTCTAAAAAGTTTGAATCAATTAGACAAAGCTCAGTATCATCTTGTAAATAAACTTTTTTATTCTTCAGAAATAAAGAAGGATGTGGAGCGATGCGAATTCCCACACATTGCTTGTGAGACCATAAACTGGTATAGCCACTTTGGGAAATAATTTGCCTGTATGCACTGAAGTTAAAGAGGCACATGTCATACGGCCCAATAATCCCACCTCAGGTATATTCCCTAGTAATATTCTTGCACATATGTACTAGGAGACATAGACTAGGATGTCAGCATAGTAGCATTTTAAAATAAAACTAATAAACTGGAGACAAAAAATAGTTTAAGAAATTAGTTTATATTCACTCAATAAAATACAAAAACGACTGAAAATCGATGACAGCTTTATACATCATCATGGATGAATTCTATAACCATAACACTGAGTGATAAAAGCATGTCAAAGAAGAATATGTATGAACTCCTGGACTTATACTTAATATGTCTATGAAAAGTACACACAAAATAGAAGTTCTACAAAGATGTGATGTAGATGAAATATTTTTAAAATATTTCATTTTATTTATTAATAATAAAACAGATTTGGGAAAGTCTGATGCCATTTTTTAAAACCTAAAGTATGTAACACCTTTTGATTAACGAGAAAATCTAATTGACATAAGGGAAGATAGAAATGTACTTGCCAATTTTCTACAAAATAACATACAATATTATTTTAAAAATATCATTTATCTCATATTCATTTAAATTAAGTTTTTGAGTATGCTTTATATGATACACAATTTAGTGTCTAGTGTGCCTATCCTATTTATAAACCAGTATATCTGTACTACCTATAAGTATACGTATATTTGGTGATGGTGTGAGTAATCAAAAAGTGGTTTGAGAGGACTCAGGCTTCTCAATTTCAAATTTCCTAAAAAGCTACAGTATTAGGACATCATGATATTGGCATAAGGATAGACAGATAGATCAGTACAACAGAATTGAGAGTACAGAAATAAAGCCCCACATTTATAGTCAATTGATTTTTATCAAAAGTGCCAAGAAAATTCAGTGGGGTCAAAATAATTTTTCCAAGCGGTGCTAGGACAACTGGATATCCACATGTAAAAGGACGAAGTTGGTTTCCTACTTCACACCAACTACGAAAATTATACCAAAATAGATTAAAGAGCTAAATATAAGAGCTAAAACTACAAAACTCCTAGAAGAAAATATAGGTGTAAATATTCATGACATTGTATTAGGCAATGGTTTCAAAGATATGACACCAAAAACAAAAATAACAAAAGAAAATATAGATAAACTGTACGTCAGTAAAGTGAAAAGCTCTTGTGCTTCAAAGGGCACTACCAAGAAAGTGAAAAGACAACACACAAAAAGGGAGAAAGCTTTTGCAAATCATGTATCTGTCAAGAGACTTGTATCTAAAATACATAAAGAACTATGAAATCCCAATAAAAAAATAATCCAATTAAAAACGGGCAAAGGATCTGTATAAAGAGCTCTCCAAAAAAAGATATACAAATGGCCAATAAGCACGTGAAAAGATGCTCAACATCATTAGCTAGCAGGAAAATGCACATCAAAACCACAGTGTGATAGCACTTCACACCCTCTAGAATGGCTATAATCGAAAGACAGATAATAGCAAGTATTGGCAAGAATGTGGAGAAAGTGGAACCCTCATACACTGCTGGTAGGAATGTAAAATCACAAAGCTACTTTGAAAACAGTCTGGCAGATCCTCAAATGGTTAAACACAGATAAACTTACCATATGACCCAGCAATTCCACTCCTACGTATATATCCAAGAGAGCTGAAAACACGTGTCACTCAAAGGCTTGTACACAAATACTAAGAGGAGCATTATTCATAATAATTAAAAAGTAGAAACAACACAAATCAACTCATGACTGTATAAACATATCTCAATAAAGTTTAAAACACGGGGGCTAAAGAAATGTTTGGTTAGCTTGTGGAGGGTATGAATAGCCCTCTAAGGGTTGGTGAGATCTCCTCAGACTAGAAAGACTGACCAGAATTACAAAAGGACTCATAGGCAATACACATTTGTTTAGTTGAGGGGCTACTTAAAGGTAGATCTAGGACATTTATATTGATAGTTATTCTAAACAGAACTAAGGAGAGTTTAGCAGAAAAAAAAAAATCACTGATTCAGATGGGGGGGCCTGGGTTCTGATTTAAGACTTTCCAGTGAATAAACTGTGAAATTTGGGCAATTCGCGGACCCTCCTTAGGTCTCAGTTGCCTCACTTCTAAAATGAGGAAGTTGGAGTAAGTTAATCCCTAATGTCCAAACTCTAAAAAATATATAAATGTTTAAATAATCGTTTGTCTTAGGTTGAAGGAATTGATGTGAAACTACATCGAAGCAAAGAAACAAGGTATTTAAGAAGTGATGACACTGGTGAGTTCTAAGAAAATTTGGATTCTGGGCTCTGAGACTAAAATGCTCATCACAATCAGAAGTTGGACTACGATGGGCCATGCCAGAGAAAGCTCTACTAAGTCTCAGACTTCCCTGGTGGTGCAGTGGTTAAGAATATGCCTGTCAATGCAGGGGACTCGGGTTTGAGCCCTGGTCCAGGAAGATCCCACATGCCGCGGAGCAACTAAACCCGTGAGCCATGACTAATGAGCCTGCGAGCCACAACTACTGAGCACGCGAGCCACAGCTACTGAAGCCCACGCACCTAGAGCCCATGCTCCACAACAAAAGGGGCCACTGCAGTGAGAAGCCCGCGCACCGCAATGAAGAGTAGCCCCCGCTCGCTGAAACTAGAGAAAGCCCATGCACAGCAATGAAGACCTAATGCAGCCAAAAATAAATAAATTTAAAAATAAATAAATAAAAATTAAAAAAAAAAAACTCTACTAAGTCTCTTCCTCTTGACCTTGAAAGTGTTTATTTTGACGTCATCAGGTTCCTCACAGGATCAAGATAATTATGATGCATGTGTGGTTCTATTATTTTGTGATAATATTTCTGAATTGAAAATATTTAGTAATCTATGTACAGACGTAAAGAGGGTGAAAACTTAGAAAAAAACAAATCTTTGGTTTCATTCGATTAGTATAAATGAGAGTAAAATTTAAAAAAAGAGAGATTGTCAAAATTATGTTGAACAGAGGATATTTTAAAAGGATGAATGTAATAAAATGTATTGGAGGGCTTGTAATCATGAAAATGTTAATAACAGGAAAACCTAAATGGGATTCATATAATTGTTGTTAGGTCAGGAACAGGATCAAGTGAATTAACATACCAGAAGAGTTAGTTAAATTAGGGAAACTGGTACCTCACAGGAACTTAGGTCTGGTGCCTTTTTTAGAAGTTCTAGGAATTCATGATTTGGGATATAGAACCATAATATCTAAGTTTATGGAATTGAGCCCTATAGTGTCTAGTGACACTCTTAACAGTAATAAAAAGATAATTTTTTCCCACATATTTTCTGATGAAATAAATAATATTTCAATAAAAATATTATACTACAATAAAACTCACGATGTACAACAAATTGTAGCCTTTGTTAATGGCAGATAAGTAAAGTGACACTTCAATTCTTTTTTCTTCAAGCTCGGTAGGTATTAACAATTTTTCTTTTTCTGTCTTATTTGAAGTCTTTTTTTTCTTTTGCTCTTGTTAGGAAATATAATTTGAAATTAAAGTTTTTCTAATGAACTGGATGCCAGTGTGCTATGTAAACAAAAGATTTTTATTTGGAAGTAACGCACACCCCAACTCCAGGGACTAGCAATATAATTTAAACACACAAACAAAAAAGTGACTTATTTAACCTTATGTTTTAACAGCACTTAACAGAGTTATTAGCTCATGTAAATTCGAAACCCAAAAGTGTTGGTGAGTTTATGCTTCAGCAAAACATCTCTCATCTCTAGAAATGACTGCACTCGACTTTCCTCTCTCACTGATGGAAACATTACTGTTGATTTAAGCCTGAATTAAATGATTATCAGCAAATTTTACTATTTTATTTAAAGACTAATAAGTATTTTGAGTGCTTATTGCCTACTCAATACCATGCAAATTGCTAAAGAAGAAAATTAGATGGCTTCTTCTCTCAAGTGGTTTACAGTTAAGAGGAAAAAATTATATATAACATAATGAGAGAACAAGAAAGGGTCACGATAGGGCTTCCCTGGTGGCGCAGTGGTTGAGAGTCTGCCTGCCGATTCAGGGGACATGGGTTCGTGCCCTGGTCTGGGAAGATCCCACATGCCGCGGAGCGGCTAGGCCCGTGAGCCATGGCCGCTGAGCCTGCGCGTCCGGAGCCTGTGCTCCACAACGGGAGAGGCCACAGCAGTGAGAGGCCCGCGTACCGCAAAAAAAAAAAAGAAAGTGTCACGATAAGTTCCTCTGAATTCTTACAATAACAATAATAACGCTCACCTATTAAAAGGCCCCTCTCTGCAGCTACAAATAGCACTCGATGGAAATGGCTTCTAACCCTAATATGCTGGAGAACTGTATTATTCTTGCTTCTCAGATGAGGAAATTAAGGCTCAGAGATTTAAAGATCTTGTCAAGTGCAAATGAGGTCAGAAGGATGAGAGAGGAATGAGGGTGAGAGAGCTGGAGACAGTTTCACGAAGGACCTGAACTTGTGAGGAGAACTTTGGAGGGTGATGGAGGAGATGGAATGTAGGAAGCCAGGTGGGGAAGATGTGCAGAGGAGGACAGACAGTGAGGGAGCACTCAGGATGCATGGAGTGTGGCAGCAGGACCAGCACCAGGGCACGTCTCTGCAGGATGCACTGTCAGGGAGGAAAAGCTACCAGGTCTAGAGCCTGAGCCTGGAATACCGAGATATGGGTAAAGAGAGTCACTGACGGCTCTTGTGGAGAGAGTAACATGATGCAAATGTATTTTAGAGATTAGTTTAGGGAACGAGTAGAGGGCACTGGAATTGGACAAAGCTGGAACAATAAAAGGTTAGAAACTACTACAGAAATTTCAGCATAAAATCTGGATATAGGTAGTGGAAGTTGAGAGAAAAGAACAATCTATTATCATATTATGTGAAGTAAGTCAGACAAAGACCAATATCACATAATATCAGTTATATGTGGAATCTAAAAAAATGATACAAATGAACTTTTTGACAAAACAGAAATAGACCCACAGACATAGAAAACAAGCTTATGGTTACCAAAGGGGAAAGGTAGGGGGCAGGGAAGAGATAAATTAGGAGCTTGGGATTAACAGATACACACTACTGTGTATAAAATAATCAATAAGGACCTACTGTAGAGCACAAGGAACTATACTTAATATCCTGTAATAACCTATAATGAAAAAGAATCTGAAAAAGAATATATATATATATATATAAATGAATCACTTTGCAGTAAACCTAAAACTAACACAACACTGTAAATTAACTATACTTCAATTAAAAGAATGATTGTAAAAAAATACCTCAAGGCAGAAAGATAGAATAGACAGTAATATCAATGTTTATATAAATAAGGCCTCTAGAATACTAATGATCATATTAGTAAGTACTTAGAAGTACTTTGGCACATAGAAGTACAGGCCACAGTTTCTGGAACCAGACATCTGGGTTTACCATTCACTTTTCTGACTCAGTTTCTTCATATGAAAACCAGAAATATAATGAAAATAATTAAGTCAAAAAAAAGAACAATCTAATATTTTGGAAGTAGCAACAACAGGAGTTAGGACCAAATTAAATACAAAAATGCAGGGGAGGAAGGGGCCAGAAAAGACCTGCTGACAGTGCTGAAACTTTCTTGAGTCTCTCCTGGGACACAAGGAAGAGCTGGAAGAAATAGAGATAGGGCTTCCATGCTCAGCCTAGACTGAGTGACTCATATCAACCTATACTTCTCACAAAAAAAACTGCAGTGAAACAACTACTTGAGAGCAACCAACACAGGCAGGACTTGAGGGGCTACAAAAAAGAAAAGAGAAGATGTGGTCGAGCTTCCCATTTACTCTGGCTGTTTCCATGTTTTTATTTTATAGCAATATGCCTGGTATTGCACAGGTCATCAACACTCAAAAATACCTTGTCAGCTCTGTAGATGAAAAAATAGTGTTGTGATAAACATTTACCACATGTTACAATCAATAAAGATCATAATCAGCTACGTGAAGAGAAAAAGGTGGAACCTACTTTTCCCAGGAGTAAGCAAGTGGCTCCCCATGTTGTTTGCCACTTACTCTGATGCCTGGCAAATGAATTTTAAACCAAATATACGATAAACTACCGCTGTATTTTATGTGCTACACGGACTCACTATTGTACATGAGAGTCCCCTGTATAATCAGCGTAAAAGCACATTTATACCTATGCTAGGGGATTCCAGGTGTCATTTTACCATTTTAAATTATTTTAGAGGCTTAATGCAACTGTATATTTGCTTTTTTTGATGAGTTGCTGGTGACATGCACTGTCTATTTATTAAATTCTTGGTTACTGAGGTCATATCCAATTACAGCATTGTTCCTATGGAAAAGCATGATCTATTACATAACCACCGACCTAATGAGGTAATTTCTCAGCACTGTGCAGAACAGCAAGGGCAGCCTCTATCTGGGGCTGAATTTTTATCTGAACTATGAAAAATGTTTCAGAATGCTGTTTGAATAAGCATTTCTTATAAATAATCGAATACCCGGAACAACAGTTCTTCAGTCCAACATGATGATAAAACTTGAATGAAGAACTACTTAGAGCCATACAGAATAATCATATGTAGAAAAGTAATTATATGACTCATAAAAATTAAAATAAGCTTCTGGATCTTTATTCCCTTTACCCCTTTTAATCAGTGCTTCAGTATACAGCAGCACAGATATACATGTGTGTTATTCAATCCAGTAAGTAATTCTTCCTCCCATTTTCAGTGTAAAGGTCTCAATTAGAAAGAAACATGAGCTGCTTTTTAAAAAGACTGTCTGTTTCCCATAAACATAACACCTGAAAGTACTCACGATCTTCATCTGTCTGTACTACGAGTTCTTGGCTCTCCTTCCGTCCCTCGGGATTCATGAGGATGAGTTTCACACTGACGTTGGTGTAGGGGGAGAGGTTGGTGATGGTGTGTTGAGGGTGTGAGTTATCCGTGTCCCAGCTTACTTCTTCTCTCACTTGTTCCTGCCCTCCGACCTTGTAACAGTAGTGGACTGTGAGGTTGTAACTATGGCAACGAGTCACGTTATACCCAAATGGCTCCCAGCGGAGAGTGATTTGTCGAGATTTGACTTCGACGACTTCCAATTTTCTTGGGCCGCGCATGGGATCTAAGATGCAAAAGAAGGAAAAAGAGAACATAAGAGAAAATAATAATAAACGTTCCAGTGAAGCCCAGGTATCACAGATAATCCTCCTTATTCCCAGTATCTTGTCTTCTCTTCTTCCATATGAATAAAACACCTAAATCTTAGATGGGCATGAGGCCACCCAGAATAAGGACTAAAATTTCCAGTCTCCTCTGCAGTGAGGTCTGTCCTTCTACCCAAGTTCTGGTGGGTAGCATACAACGTGAGACATCAAGAATGGATTCTGGGCAGTGTCTTTGAAAGGAAGGGGCACACCATCCTTGTTCCTCCTTCCTTCCTATTAGCTTGATTGAGGATAGGGTGTCTCACGCTCATGCAGCCATGATGGACCATAATGTGCTTAAACATTAAGAATTCAAAGCAATGATGATGAAGAACCCAGGGTTCCTGATAATCACTGCACTACCATACCATCCCTGAAGGGTCTACTTCCAAAATTTTCATTAGAGAGAAATACAGTGCTTTTATCTAAGGCTCTTTCCTCTGGGGCTCTGATACACAAAAGCAGTCTTAATGCTAATTGATGTATATATTTTTTATCTTTTTAAGATAATTCATCATTATGTAATTGGAAAAGAGTAAAAGCTTGAGAATTCAGCATGAAATAATACAATGATTAAAGAGCATAAACTTCTGAACAGAACTCCAGGCCTTGTTGCGTTGTGATTTGTAGAGAATTCCACACAGTCAATGCTGAAGTAGTTCTTTACTACCCCTGATCAGGTCTTGGTGTTGTTTCTTAGTCAAAGCTCCAGGGACAGAGTTTCGAGCTTAGAAATCTAAATGAAACGCAGGGAATATAAGCATTCTGATGGGCTTAAAAGGAAGAATATATACAGAGAAGGCTTTCTTTTTATACATATCTCTTCTTTTATTGAAGTATAGTTGATTAACAATGTTGTGTTAATTTCTGCTATACAGTGATTCAGTTATACGTATATATGTATATATGTACACATTCTTTTTTAATATTCTTTTCAGTATGGTTTATCATAGGATATTAAATATAGTTCCCTATGCTATACAGTAGGACCTCGTTGTTTATGAGAAAGCTTAAACTTGTTTATGAAATGATGATGAAAATACAGTAATACTAACTACATAACATTTACTGAGCCCTTATTACATACCTTACACTCTTCTAAGAATTTACCTTTCACGGGTTTGGGGAAAACCTAATCTAAAATACTTTGCTTTAGTATATCCATACATACAATTGATCCATATATTTTGATTTTTGTTTTCCTGAATGTGGTCACCATTTATGAATATAAAGAGATCTATAATTGGAAAGTGAAAATAAGCATGAAAACTTGAGAAATAATAGCTACCGGGGTAGAAGGACGTGCTCCCACTCCCTCTTGCGAGAGCACCAGAATCACAACTAACTGCTGAACAGTCACCGGCAGGAAGACACTGGAACTCACCAAAAAGATGCTCCACATCCAAAGACAAAGGAGAAGCCACAGTGAGGCAGTAGGGGGGGCACAATCACAATAAAATCAAATCCTATAACTGTTGGGTGGGTGACTCACAAACTGGAGAACACTTATACCACAGAAGTCTACCCACTGGAGAAAAGGTTCTGAGCCCCACATCAGGCTTCTGAACCTGGGGGTCCGGCAACGGGAGGAGGAATTCCTACAGAATCAGGCTTTGAAGGCTAGCGGGATTTGACTGCAGGACTCTAACAGGACTGGGGGAAACAGAGATTCCACTCTTGGAGGGCACACAAAAAGTAGTGTGTGCATCGGGACCCAGGGGAAGAAGCAGTGACCCCACAGGAGACTGAATCACACCTACCTGCTAGTGTTGGAGGGTTTCCTGCAGAGGCGGGGGGTGGCTGTGGCTCACCATGGGGACAAGGACACTGGCGGCAGAAGTTCTGGGAAGTACTCCTTGGTGCAAGCCCTCTGGGAGTCTGCCATTAGCCCCACCAAAGAGCCTGGGTGGGCTCCAGTGTTGGGTCACCTCAGGCCAAACAACCAACAGGGAGGGAACCCAGGCCCACCCATCAGCAGACAAGCAGATTAAAGTTTTACTGAGCTCTGCCCACCAGAGCAACAGCCAGCTCTACCCACCACCAGTCCCTCCCATCAGGAACTTGCACAAGCTTCTTAGACAGCCTCATCCACCAGAGGGCAGACAGCAGAAGCAAAAAGAACTACAATCCTGCAGCCTGTGAAACAAAAACCACATTCACAGAAAGATAGACAAGATGAAAAGGCTATGTACCAGATGAAGGAACAAGATAAAACCCCAGAAAAACAACTAAATGAAGTAGAGATAGGCAACCTTCCAGAAAAAGAATTCAGAATAATGATAGTGAAGATGATCCAGGAGCTTGGAAAAAGAATGGAGGCAAAGATTGAGAAGATGCAAGAAATGTTTAACAAAGATCTAGAAAAATTAAAGAACAAACGACAGAGATGAACAATACAATAACTGAAATGAAAACTACACTGGAAGGAAACAATAGCAGAAAAACTGAGGCAGAAGAACACATAAGTGACCTGGAAGACAGAATGGTGGAATTCACTGCTGCAGAACACACTAAAGAAAAAAGAATGAAAAGAAATGAGGACAACCTAAGAGACCTCTGGGACAACATTAAACGCAACAACATTCGCATTATAGGGGTCCCAGAAGGAGAAGAGAGAGAGGAAGGACCCGAGAAAATATTTGAAGACATACAGTCAAAAACTTCCCTAACATGGGAAAGGAAATAGCCACCCAAGTCCAGGAAGCACAGAGAGTCCCAGGCAGGATAAACCCAAGGAGAAACAGGCCGAGACACAGAGTTATGAAATTGGCAAAAATTAAAGACAAAGAAAAATTATTAAAAGCAGCAAGGGAAAAACAACAAATAACATACAAGGGAACTCCCATAAGGTTAACAGCTGATTTCTCAGCAGAAACTCTACAAGCTGGAAGGGAGTGGCATGATATACTTTAAGTGATGAAAGGGAAGAACCTACAACCAAGATTACTCTACCTGGCAAGGATCTCACTCAGATTCAACGGAGAAATCAAAAGATTTACAGACAAGCAAAAGCTAAGAGATTTCAGCACCACCAAACCAGCTCTACAACAAATGCTAAAGGAACTTCTCTAAGTGGGAAACACAAGAGAGGAAAAAGGCCTACAAAAACAAACCCAAAGCCATTAAGAAAATGGTAATAGGAACATACATATTGATAATTACCCTAAACGTGAATGGATTAAATGCTCCAACCAAAAGACAGAGACTTGCTGAATGGATACAAAAGGAAGGCCCATATATATGCTGTCTACAAAAGACCCACTTGAGACCTAGGGAAACATACAGACTGAAAGTGAGGGGATGGAAAAAGATATTCCATGCAAATGGAAATCAAAACAAAGCTGGAGTAGCAGTACTCATATCAGATAAAATAGACTTTAAAGTAAAGAATGTTACAAGAGACAAGGAAGGACACTACATAATGATCAGGGGATCAATCCAAGAAGAAGATATAACAATTATAAATATATATGCACCCAACATAGGAGCACCTCAATACATAAGGCAAATGCTAACAGCTCTAAAAGAGGAAATCGACAGTAACACAATAAGAGTGGGGGACTTTAACACCTCACATACACCAATGGACAGATCATCCAGACAGAAAATTAATAAGGAACACGAGCTTTAAATGTCACAATAGACCAGATAGATTTAACTGATATTTATAGGACATTCCATCCAAAAACAGCAGATTACACTTTCTTCTCAAGTGCACATGGAACATTCTCCAGGACAGATCACATCTTGGGTCACAAATCAAGCCTTGTTAAATTTAAGAAAATTGAAATCATATCAAGCATCTTTTCTGACCACAACGCTATGAGATTAGAAATGAATTACAGGGAAGAAAAAGTAAAAAACACAAACACATGGAGGCTAAACAATACATTACTAAATAACCAAGAAATCACTGAAGAAATCAAAGAGGAAATCAAAAAAAAAAACTAGAGACAAATGACAATGAAAACACAATGATCCAAAACTTACGGGATGCAGCAAAAGCAGTTCTAAGAGGGAAGCTTATAGCTATACAAGCCTACCTCAAGAAACAAGAAAAATCTCAAATAAAAAATCTAACCTTACTCCTAAAGGAACTACAGGAAGAAGAATAAATAAAACCCAAAGTTAGCAGAAGAAAAGAAATCATAAAGATCAGAGCAGAAATATATGAAATAGAAAAAAAGAAAACAGTAACAAAGATCAATAAAACTATCTTTGAGAAGATAAACAAAATTGATAAACCATTAACCAGACTGATCAAGAAAAAGAGGGAGAGGACTCAAATCAATAAAATTAGAAATGAAAAAAGAGAAGTTACAACAGACACCACAGAAATACAAAGCATCCTAAGAGACAACTACAAGCAACTCTACGCCAATAAAATGGACAATTGGAAGAAATGGACAAACTTTTAGAAAGGTATAACCTTCCAAGACTGAACCAGGAAGAAATAGAAAATATGAACAGACTAATCACAAGCAATGAAATTGAAACTGTGATTAAAAATCTTCCAACAGGGGCTTCCCTGGTGGTGCAGTGGTTGAGAGTCCGCCTGCCGGTGCGGGGGACACGGGTTCGTGCCCCGGTCTGGGAGGATGCTGCATGCCGTGGAGCGGCTGGGCCCGTGAGCCATGGCCGCTGAGCCTGCGTGTCCGGAGCCTGTGCTCCACAACGGGAGAGGCCACAGCAGGGAGAGGCCTGCGTACCACAAAAAAAACCCCAAAAAACAAAACAACAACAAAAAAATCTTCCAACAGGGCTTCCCTGGTGGTGCAGTGGTTGAGAGTCCGCCTGCCGATGCAGGGGACATGGTTTTGTGCCCCAGTCCAGGAGGATCCCACATGCCGCGGAGCAGATGGGCCTGTGAGCCATGGCCGCTGGGCCTGCGCATCCGGAGCCTCTGCTCCACAACGGG